AAATAAGAGAGGACACAAACAAGTGGAAAAATATTTCATGCTCATGGATAAGAAGAATCAATACTATGAAAATGGCCATGTTGTTCAATGTAATTTATGGATTTAACGTTATCCCCATCAAGCTACCAGTGACTTTTTCCACAGAATTAGAAAAAACTACTTTAAATTTCATATGGAACCAAAAAAGAGCCCTTATAGGCAACGCCATCTTAAGCAAAAAGAACAAAGCTAGAGGCATCATGCTACCTCACTTAAATCTGTAATACAAGACTACAGTAACCAAAGAGCATGGTACTGGTACCAAAACAGACATATAGACAAATGGAACAGAACAGAGGCCTCAGAAATAACACTACACATCTACAACCATCTGATCTTTGACAAACCTGACAAAAACAAACAATGGGGGAAAGATTCCCTATTTAATAGATGGTATTGGGAAAACTGGTTAGCCATAGGCAGAAAACTGAAAGTGGACCCCTTTCTTACACCTTATAAAAATATTGACTGAAGATGGATTAAAGACTTAAACATAAGACCTAAAACCATAAAAACCCTAAAAGAAAACCTAGAAAATACCATTCAGAACATAAGCATGGACAAAAACATCAAAAGCAATTGCAACAAAAGCCAACTAAAGAGCTTCTGCACAGCAAAAGGAACTATCATCAGAGTGAACAGGCAACCTACAGAATGGGAGAAAATTTTTGCAATCTATCCATCTGACAAAGGGCTAATATTCAAAATCTGCAAAGAACTTACACAAATTTACAAATAGAAAGCAAACGACTCCATCAAAAAGTGGGTGAAGCACATGAACAGACTGTCTCAAAAGAAGACATTTACGCAGCCAACAAACATGAAGAAAGCTCATCCCTGGTCATTAGAGACGTGCAAGTCAAAGCCACACTGAGGTACCATCTCACGCCAGTTAGAACAGTGATTTAAAGGGTCGGAAACCAACAGATGCTGGAGACGATGTGGAGAAATAGAAATGTTTTTACACTCTTGGAGAAAATGTAAATTAGTTCAACCATTGTGGAAGATAGTGTGGCAATTCCTCAAGGATCTAGAACCAGAAATAGCATTTGACCCAGCAATCTTATTACTGGGTATATACTAAAAGGAATAGAAATCATTCTACTATAAAGCACATGTACACATATGTTTATTGCAGCACTATTCACAATAGCAAAGACTTGGAACCAACCCAAATGGTCCATCAATGATAGACTGGATAAAGAAAATGTGGCACGTATACACCATGGAATACTGTGCAGTCATAGAAAATGATGAGGTTAATCCTTTGCAGAGACATGGACGAAACTGGAAACCATCATTCTCAGCAAACTAACACAGGAACAGAAAACCAAACACTGCATGTTCTCACACATAACTGCGAACGGAACAATGAGAACACACGTACATAGGGAGGGGAACATCACACACTGGGGCCTGTCATGCAGTGGGGGAGTAGGGGAGGATAGCATTAGCAGAAATACCTAGTAAATTTCTGCACCATGGTGGTACAGCAAACCACCATGGCACGTGTATACCTCTGTAACAAACCTGCCTGTTCTGCACATGTATCCCAGAACTTAAACTATTGTAATACTAATAAAGAACAAGTAGGTGTTAACACAAGGTCAAATAAAAACAAGGCCTATAAATTTCCCATTGTGCAAGGCAACTAGGAGGTCAGGCACTCAGCATAAGCTGTTTTCTCAGTGGTAGAGACACAAACCAAATTAAAACTGGTTGAGTAGTGAATGAAAACTGTGGATGTAAAGGCAGTTAATGAAGAATATGGGAGTTTGGCTCAAAGAGGAATCAGCATGAAAAGGGAACAGCTAGGTATTTCATATAATTATGGGAGATATTTTATTTTTGTGAGGTTATTTGAAGACTGAAAGAGAAGTGAGCTTGTTCATATGCTGGGTGAAATGATAGTGGAAAAGAACAGAATAAATACTGGTGATGGGGTCATAGTGGATGAAATAGACTGACAAAACATTGCGATCCAAATCCCCAGCATAATGGAAAGTCTAAACCTTACAGGAGACAGGGTCTCCTGCGCTCTGTGCGTTGGAAAGATGGTGAATACAGATCAGGGCGAAGATAATTCTGGAGGTGGTGTGTGAGGGAAAGTTGAGGTCTTTACTCCTGATTACATAATTTTTCTTAGTGACACAGAGGAAAGCTGATGATGAAGTTTTTGAAAAGACTTTGAAAGGAATGAAAAAAAGAAAGATAACCATGAAGTGTAAGTTTAAAGTTAGAGACCACTGATGTGTAGCTACCAGTCCTAGAATGATGGTTTTCTTCAGTATCGTTCAGTGGCACATGTGCAGGAAAATGGTAGGTTAATATAGGCTTGGGATCTGCCTTTGCAGGAGTGAAAGAGGATAGGGTTGCAGGGGAGCTGAGACAATGAGTCCCAACTGAGCAGGGAAGGCAAAAAAGCAAAAGAGGATACTCCCCAAAACCCAGGAGAAAGAAGAGAGAAATGGAAGTTTGTTAATATTTAGTTGGATAGAAAGTATTAAGGAGAGTGACACTGTTAGAGAGCCTGAAGAAGGTGAGTTTGTTTTCAGAGAACAGAACAGTGGACTCACAGATTTCTGCCATTAAGCAATTCCAAGTTGTCTGTCCTTGAGTTAAGGAAGGTGAGGTGGAAGGGAAGATCTCCAAATCTCAGGAGGTTAAGGGACTTTAAGATGAGCAGGTAGGTACACGTGAATACCAAAATCACTCCGAATAATAATAATGCTTGAGTTGAAGAAAAAAATTCTAAGCCTGAGCCAAATTGTTGCCGGCAGAGAGAAGAAAATTATATATAATCCTGTGCTCTCTCAGGTTGGTGGGTCAGGCAGCCTCCCTGGGAGAGCAGGTACTGGAAGAGTCTTAGAGAAAAGGGATGTGATATTCTTCGGGGAGACTTTCCAGTATGAAAAAGAGGAGCAGGCAACATTCTATTTAGGTGCTGAAAATATAGGGACTTTGTTTGATATGGAAAAGGAGTTTTAGAAAGCAAAGCAAAAAGCTTTGGGAGTATGAGTAAAACTCTTATGGTAAAAAAACAAAAAACAATTGAACTTTTATTTAGACTGTATTTCCCGGACTTGCCCACACACCCCTTGTTTGCACAGCGCCCATTAACCTCTTACAGAAGTGGTGCTGTGTGGATTACAGCTTGGGAAACATTGGCAAAGCACTGGAGGATGGCAGGGCTGTGAAGCATTCCACAATGGAATTGGTGCCAAGTCACGGTAAACTCAGCTCTTAAGGTATCTGGAAGGCACTGTGTGGACAAAGACGAGTCGGCTTCAAGGCCACCCAATTTGTTGAGTTTTTAAGTTTCTTTCCATAGCCATTTGTCTCTTCAAGTCAGCTACATTAAAGCCTGTGAAATCAGGGACAGTTATAATTTCTTTGCATCTCTATGACATTTGGCTTATGCTGGAGCATATTAATAAGTGTTAAATAAACATTTTGGTTTATTGCTTCATACCATGGGCAAACAAAGATTACAGCACCAGTTTTAGATCTTGCTTCTTTCTGTCTTTGCTGGAGATTTATTTTCTTTTTAGCATTAAAAACATTATTTAACTTTTAGAGACAGGGGCTCACTCTGTCACCCTGGTTGGAGTGCAACTGGTGTTATCATGGTTCACTGCAGACTCGAATTCCTGGCCTCAAATGATCCTCCTGCCTCAGCCTCCCAAAGTGCTGAGATTATAGGAGTGAGCCATCGCACCTGGCCTAGGGTTTTAACTTAATGTTAAATATCCCAATGTGTTGGAGCTCATGGTGAATTTTCAATAATAATTTTTACTTACAGCTTTTATATTTAACACACCTCTGCACCTTCTCTCTTTAATAAGATTTTGATAGAATGGTCCTGGACAAAAAGAGCTCAAAACAGAATATTTGACATTGCTGAATATTAAAGTTAATTATGCAAGGTAAATACAATTAAGAAGAAATAGTAGGGAATATTTAAAAAATATGTACCTGATTTATTTATTTTTAAAGTGGCCTTTTTCCAAAGGAAAAATTTAAAAAGTTAAGTAAAAAGTACAAACTCATACAAAGCTTAACAAAAAAATGTTACAACTATCAGGGAATTCCCCTTGAGAATTCTTTAATTTTCTTATATAATGCAGTAAATGTGATTTTATATACAGACGGTAATAAGTAAATTTAAATGTATAATAGATACAGGGATGTGCAGAATTTAATATTATAAAAATCATGCTGTATATATAATTTACATTGTTTATAATTACACAAAAGACAGAGGGATATGCATATATGCTTGAATTTATAAAGTCAAAAAGCAAATTACATGAGATTCTGCTGTGGTATATAAAAGCAAAGACATAAAGTGGCTGAGAATCATAACATTTACAAAAATTACAACTTACATAACATTTAAACCCAGTATAGTCATAAATTATGCTTGCATTTATTGTCCTCTCCTGAGGAAGGCTCAGTGTTGTGAGAAGCCTGGGCAGTCACACATTAGAGTCTTTACCTCTACCACTGAGACATATCTTGACTCACAGACCCTGAAGCTTAAGTTGGTTGATTTGGAAGACTGTGTTTGATAAACCTCTGTGGAATCGGGAAAACCCTTTTATGACTCCCAGACTCTGATGTGTTGGCCTCTTGTTTTCCTTCCACTCAATTCCCCTTTGAGGTTTTAGTGAAAATATGTGTTTCTAAACCTTTCTACAGTCAGGCCGAGAGGAAGAGTAGATTTTACCTAGACCAATCCTGGCATGTATGTAAGAGGAAATACAGAAGACTTTTTCTTAAAGATTAGAAAAGCAAAAATCCTATATTAAAATGGCTTTAGTGAACTTACATTTCTACTTTGAACAAGCATATCTGAGTTTAGAGTCTAGAAGATCACAGCCATGTCCCCCATGGTGCATAGTTCACATTTCACAATTTAACATTATGAGATGTTTCAATGACCATTTTTAATTACTTAGGCTTCAAGGAGACAACCTGGCAGAAAGGACAGATGAGACACTACCAGTACTCCGTTCTCCAGATGAAAAAATCCCAGATTCCTTCGGTAAGTTTTAAATCCAACAGTATTTATTGTAGTGCTAGTGGCACTTAAAGGTTAATGAAATAAAGAAAAAAACAAAACCAAACATCTTCTCTTGCATGAAGTAGCTGCAGGTCACTTATCTACTGCTGGCACACACCTCGGGGCTGTTTGTGTCAGGATAAGAGCAAAGGAGAGCAGGAATTGAGAAGCGTGAATTCTAAGGAGTGATTCTTTATACCTGTTCTGTTTAAGGTCCAAACAGATCAACTCTAGGTTGCCTACTCCCTAAATTATGTCACTAACTCAAAATTGTCTTTAGAAATCCACATTGTCAGCTGGATCTCTAGAAAATGGAACTGTCTCTGTGTCCCTTGTCTGTCACTTGCTATATCTGCTTTGCCCATTCTCACATCATTGATCCAGTCATCCTTCTTCGGCAGAAATGTCAATATCATACTGGATAATATACACTCCCTCTCTCCCAGCCCTGTATTAAATTAGTCTCCAACTATGTCAATGTCACTTCAGAATTTTTTCTTCTGGGTCAGCCTCCTTTCTATTTGCCCTGTTACTGCCTGTCTATGAGTTTTTCCTTTCTTCAAGTGTAACTGCCTTTTTTTGCCCTCTTTGCACTATCTCAGCCTTCTTTGGTTCATTATTTTTCTGAAAATAAAGCTGCTTATTCCATTTCCATTTTCTATAGTACAAAACGGAGATTCCTTAACTTAGCAAACAAACTTAATATCAGATCAATTCAAAATGATTTTTGTATCTAAATAAGTACAGGTAATGCAACTCCAATGCTATCTAAGGTACATCACGTCTTCATCAGTGTCCTGCTATAATACTGATGCATTATATTAATTATATATATTCATATTATGTGTCCTGTTGATGCATTATAGCAGGACACAGTCCATACATCCAACCTGGATGGTTAGAAGATAAAGTATAGGAAAGTATTTTTCTTATACCTGGATTGAGAAGGACATCTTCAACAAGACAAACACATCTCCAGCCATGAAAGAAATAATTGAAACACTCAACTCTCGAAAATTAAAAACTCCTGTCTATCAAAAGAAGCCCAAAGAACCTCAGAATTAAGATGGTGGATAGGAGGCAGGACTAGTTTGCAGCTCCCACTCAGACAGACAGAGCAGCGTGTGGAGACTTAATCATGAACTTTTGCTCCAAGAAGTACTGCAGAAACTTATCAGGAAAGCTGAGAGAATGACAGACACTGTGAAGGAACTGGATCACCACTGCAGGCTCCCTGAGATGCAAAAACCTGTGAGATTGCTTTCTAGACAAGGAGACTCATGGTCTGGGGCAAGTTCTCATCCCTGGTCCCTTGCTGCCTGGAAATAAACTCAGTGCTTTTGTGGGTGGCACAGTGTATGTGAAACGAGCCTTTAGGGCTATGGGCTGCCATGGAGCTGGGAGCTGGGTGAGGCCTGTGATGGCCAGCTTTCCCCTACTTCCTTGGTGACCTGTATGAGTCAAGAGAGGCACCCATAATCCCCCTGGAAATATAACTCCAGTGGCCTGGGAACCACACTCCCATCCCCTACAACAGAAACAGCAATCCCCACACAAAAAGAAGCTGAGCTCAGACACACCTATCCCGGCTCCCATCTGGTGTTCTCTCTTTATCTGCTGTGGTAGCCAAAGAAAACGGCATAATTTCATGGGAGCTCTATGGTCTTCCCTACCATCTGAGAAACATGAATATTTAACCAGGTGTTCTTAGGGCAAGTTTGCAGCCTCCACATAGGTTGATGTACTCTTTTTTTTTTTTTTTTTGAGTCAGAGTCTTACTCTGACGCCAGGCACCAGGCTGGAGTGCAGTGGTGCAATCTTGGCTCACTGCAATCTCCGCCCCCTGGGTTCAAGCGATTCTCCTGCCTCAGCCTCCTGAGTAGCTGGGGCTACAGGCATGTGCCACCATGCCCAGCTAATTTTTCTATTTTTTAGTAGAGTCGGGGTTTCACCATGTTGGTCAGGATGGCTCAATCTCTTGACCTCGTGATCCACCCACCTCGGCCTCCCAAAAGTTGATGCACTCTTGAAAGCACAATCTTTTGGCTGGAGGCCAACCAACACACACCTAGCACACTAAACAAAAACATAACCAAAGTCCCTCACAGAGTCCACTTCACTTCCTTGCTACCTCCTCCAGAGCAGGTGCTGGTATCCACAGCTGCAAGACCTGAAGAATGATCACATCACAGGACTCTTTGCAGACACCCCAGTACAAGCCCAGAGCCTGGTAGCTCCACTGGAAGGCTAGACCCAGAAGAACAAAAACAATCACTACAGTTCAGCTCTCAGGAAGCCCCATTCCTAGGTAAGCGGGGAGAACACAACATCAAAGGATCACACTAAGGGACAAAAGAATCTGAACAGCAGTTCTTGAATCCTACATTTTCCTTCCAACATAGTCTGCACAAATTAGAAGTAACCAGAAAAACAATTCCGGTAATATGATAAAAATAAAATACCACCATCATTCTTTACAGAACTAGAAAAGACAATTCTAAAACTCATATGGAACCAAAAAAGAGCCTGCATATCCAAAGCTATCCTAGGCGAAAAGCACAAATCTGGAGGCATCACATTGCCTGACTTCAAACTATACTATAAGACCATAGTCACCAGAACAGCATGGTACTATTATAAAAATAGGCACATATAGAATAGAGAACCCAGAAATAAACCCAAATACTTACAGCCAACTGATCTTCAGCAAAGCAAACAAAAACACAAAGTAGGGAAGGGACAAGAATAGATTTGGTGAAGAAGGAACACTGTTCAATAAATGGTGCTGGGATAATTGAAAAGCCACATGTAGACGAATTAAACTGGATCCTCATATCTCACCTTATACAAAAATCAACTCAAAATAGGTCAAGAACTTAAATCTAAGACCTGAAACCATAAAAGTTCTAGAAGATAACATCAGAAAAACCCTTCCAGATATTGGCTTAGGTAAAGATTTCATGACCAAGAACCCAAAAGCAAGTGCAATAAAAATAAAAATATAAATAGATGGGATTTAATTGAACAAAAAACCTTCTGCACAGCCAAAGAAATAATCAGCAGAGTAAGTAGAAAATCCATGGAGTGGGAGAAAAATCTTCATAATCTATACTTCTGACAAAGGACTAATATTCAGAATCTATAATACAAAGAACTCAAATATGCAAGAAAAAAGCAAATAATCCTATGAAAAGGTGGACTAAGGACATGAGTAGACATTTCTCAAAAGAGGATATATGAATGGCAAATAAGCATATAGAAAAATGCTCAACATCACTAACTATCAGGAAAATGCAAATCATAACCACACTGTGATACCACCTCACTCCTGCAAGAATGGCTATAATCAAAACATAATAGATGTTGGTGTGGTGAAGAAGGTGAAGAATGGATTTGGTGAAGAGGGAACCCTTTACACTATCAGTGGGAATGTAAACTAGTACAATCACTCTGGAAAACTATGGAAAGTCCTTAAAGAACTAAAAGAAGATCTACCGTTTGATCCAGAAATCCCATTTCTAGGTATCTACCCAGATGAAAAGATGTCATTATATGAAAAAGATATTTGCAAACAGATGTTTATAGCAGCACAATTTGCAATTGCAAAAATATGGAACCAGCCCAAATGCCCATCAATCAATGGGTAGATAAAGAAAATGTGGTATATACATACCATGGAATACTACTCAACCTTAAAAAAGAACAAAATGATGGCATTTGCAGCAACCTGGACAGAATTGGAGACCATTATTCTAAGTGAAGTAACTCAGAAATGGAAAACCAAATATCACATGTTTTCTCTCATATGTGTGAGCCAAACTATGAGGATGAAAAGGCCTAAGAATGATGTATTATTGGACTTGGGGACTTGGGGGAAAGGGTAAGGGTGGTGAGGGATAAAAGACTACACGTTGGGCAGTGTACACTGCTCAGGTGATGGGTGCACCAAAATCTCAGAAATCATCACTAAATAACTTATTCATGTAACCAAACACCACCTGTCCCCCAAAAACCTATTGAAAAAAATTACAAATAAAAAAGATGCCCAAGGAAAAGCCACAAATAGGGAAACATATTTGCAATGTGATTGCCACTGATCAAAGACAAATATTTAGAATATGAAGAACACCTACAATTTAATAAATAATCAAACCAATAAAAAATAAGCAACAGATTTGAGTATACATTTTACAGAGAAGAAACATAAAAGGTCAACAAGCAGATAAAAAATACTTAAACTACCTTAGTGATCAGGGAAAAGAAAATTAAGACCATGGAGAGATACAACCTTTTGCTTTTACAACCTTTTGATTGGCATTGATTAAGAAAGCTGACAAAACTAAGTGCTGGTGAAGTCATAGATGAAAAGAAACTCATATACCACAGTGATATGAGTTTTGGAAAAGTTTTCCACTATCTTAAAATCTTGAGCATTTATATAATCTAAAACCTAGAAATTTCATTTCTAGGTAAATGCCTTAGAGAAACAGGTTTCATGTGGCATGAAATATGTAGTATGTTCATGGACAGGGAAATGGATAAATTGTGAAATTTTTTTACGCAGTAGCAATCTGAATGCCTTTCAACTACATACAGGGGATGGATAAAATTGGTGATGTATGAACAGGTCCCCTGTTGAAAGGCATTCAGGTTTCTACTGTGTAAATGTACAACAGTCTTCCTGAAAAAAGCAAACCTTGATTTGTAGAGATTGATTTCTGTGGTGTGAATACTTCCACCATGGCTGATTTCAAGCAGCCAAACTGAAATGGCAGTTGGTTCTCCCAGTCTGGTATAAGCAAGCTGCAGCTCACCATAAAATGAGTCTTAAAAGCCTAATGCTTCTTGAACAAAAGCAAGTCATAGAATGCCATTTTTATAAAGCCCCAAAAAGCAAATCTAAATAATATGTTCTTTAGGAAAATATAAATGACAAAACTATATTTAAAGAAGGAAATGATAAACACAAAATATTAGTTGTTCTCTGGGGCAAGGGAAGGCTGGGCGTTGGGATAAGGAAGGAGCCCACAGATATATGAAGGTTTTTAGAAATGCCCTAATTATTAAGTTGTAGGTTTGGGGTGTTTATTTTGTCATTGTCAATTGTAATTTAAATATACATACTAATAGATGTGATATATTTTACATGTTATATTTACATAAATGTTTTACAGGTGTTGTATTTTTATATGTCAAATATTATGTAATAAATATTTTTTAGAAACTGCTAGGGGAACATAAACCAATGCCAATGTAGCATAATGCAAAGAAATGGCCATAGTTTATACATACTCAAATCTATTATAATGGTGATGACATGGTATGTTCTTATAATAGACCTTTAACCCTGATAATGAACATTAAGTAAAGTGTCATTAGCAACATGGAGGTCCTAGGCTGGCCATTCATTGACACTTGCTTAGTTTTTGGAGTCAGCCTGGTTTCTGCTCATAGATATTCTTGCGTGTGTACCTTGACTTATGCCATCCTTCCCTGACTAGCAATAAGACCTTTTCCCTCCCTTCTCTGCCTATTTAGATCATCTGCTCTAAGATCATGTTAAGTCTCTCTGATGTTTTCTTTTTCTTAGCCCCTAATTGTTTTTGAATTGCTTCTTGTATGTTTGTTTCTCTTACTTCCATTGGATTATATGCTTCTTGAAGTTCTCTTATGTTACCCATCATGCCCAATACAAAACCAGACACAAGATAGATACAATTTAATTAGTTGCCATTAATTTTTAAAATTTTATCAAATTAACTCCAATTTACCAATCTGTACCCATATATTCTTCAACAATCTCATTTACATAATTACTGAGTATTATAAGGACTCAAATTTCCTTGGAAATTAAATAATGTATCAATAATGTGTTGCAAATTATACTTTAGGCTCCCTTCTTGAAATGCCTATTCCTGCATTCTTCACATTCAGTTATTAGTAAACCTAATCTGCAAATTCCAGAATATGAGTTTCTTATTTAGTACATTCTTTTCTACCTAAGTTAGTCAAATGACTAGATCCAATAATTAAATATTATTGGCATTATCCAAAAGTGCTACTGTGAGTTTCATGTCAACTGTGCATCCATACTGAACTTGGCTAGACATACATAAGTATTGCTATAAATAGGTATAACTTTGTGCATAAAAAATCTATTGTGACATAAGCAGCAAAAGTGAAAATAATGGCTGAAAAAAGTTGGATGAAGCTAAGCACTATAATAAACTACAGATTTTTAGGTTCCCACCAACATATCCAATCAACCACAGGACTAAATTTCTAGTCCTGTCACAGATTATTAGATTTCTGGTAAAATTACTTTATCTTTCCATGCTTCAGTTTCTTCTTCCCTAAAATGAGGATATAAGATAAACTGCAATATTTGACAAATTTAGGGACTCATTTCCCACCCACCCATAGGTTATTTTAATTAGCTAAAAAAAAAAAACGTATATTTGAAAATAATGTATAAAAGAAATTGCTCTGGAATAGACAGAGCAAAACAGCTTACACATGTTTACTCACCTGTTACTGTTAATAAGCCAAGTACTCTGAACATATAAACAATAGCATTTACTGCTCCAAGCATTAAACACCAAGGTATTATTTTCATGGTGTCTGTGGTCGCTACTATCTTGTTAGATTGGTATCCTATTATTAGATTTGAAATATTTGGCCATATCCATGTGACTTCATAACTTTCAAAAATGGTAGTTATGTGAATTTTCAAATGTTCTGGTAGTACTTATAGTTATCCCTTCATACTGAGCTGAACGAACATTGCTGTATTACAGATCTCTCTGGATATGGTACCAATACCCAGGGAGAATTCAACCAAAATGAAAACAGAACAAAATGTAAACCATACAAAGTTACTAATACTTTCCCTTCATAAGTGTTCATTTTTGTTAAAAAATTAATACTGCCCTATAAATGTGTTCAAGTAAATTTCATGAAAGAAAATGTTGTAGAAAATGTTCAACTTCTTTTAAAAGCACCTGATACAGTGTTGGTATATAGTATTCGTTGAATAAATGAATACACAAATATACAAATGCAATAAATGTATGAACGAAAGAATAAATACATAAATAAATAAACAGAATAACATCACTTAACAACCATTAACTACTCATGGATAAGAGCTTGAAAACTCATTTATAATATTTCTAACTTAAAAAATTTAGCAAATCTGTGAGAGGGTAATGTAGAATAGAACATTTTAATGTTATGTATTTATTAAGTCAATAGACTACTCAAATAAGAACTTCAATACACAAACAAAACAGGATACTGAGTGAATACTAAAATTATAGTAGCATTTGCTCACAGTTCTGCAGAATATTATTCAGTTTAGGAGGACTTGAATTATGCTTAATTTGTATTTTAATTTAACAAATTTATTGTCACCTTTACAATAGTGTTTTAGGAGCTGGAGGTTCAAGTATTCTTTACAAGTGGATTAATACTTTTGGATTTGGTATAATTCTCATTATCTCTCCTGATTTTATCCACTAAAACTTGTTTATTTTTATTATCTATGTTCTGTTAGGAAAGGCAGTAAGTAAAATCTTTAAATTTACCTACAACTCTAGAATGCTGTGTTTCTCTTGAAGTCAGTTTTATGGTGGAAGGCATTCTGTGTTCTAAAACAAAATCCATATTTACATCTGCATAAACTATGTGCCCCAGGATTTAGAAACTTGTCTTCTTAAATGTAAAATTCTGAGTTCTCAGAGACAGAGAGCGCTCCATGACTCCAAAGCTATGATTACAGATTTGCACTAAGCTTGCCATTGTCTCCCGGGTGTTCTGCGGCCACTACGGGTTTCAAAGATTTCATGCTCTAATTCTCTTTTTAGAGTATACATTTTATGCAACAGAAAAAATCTGTCTTCATATGTACATGGAGCTAAAGGAAAATCTTTAGGGTTTATATGACTCCCTCAAGTATTAATAAATATAAGAAACCAATTTCTAAATCCAGTGGTTTAAAATACCTTTCCCTTAACTGATTTTTTTTTTTTTTATTTGAAAAGTAGGAGCTCAAACTCAACTAAGGGAAGTTGACAGTCTTCAGGATAGATTATTTCTAGTTGCTCCATTTACCTATTCCGATGATAGAATTCTTTATAACCCATAGAACCTGTTGTTCAAAAGGTTGTTATGTTGTCAGGAGACATATGGAAAATATTGCATCATTTTGTTCACAGATTTGAAAGCCGCTACTCACCCACTTGTCAATATATTCGATTCAGGCTAAGTAATTGCAACTTCTTGCTTCACATACTGAAATGGAAAACCTACTACCATTTAATAATGTGCATCTTCCTCTGAGCTTTTTTTCAGAATTTTCCATTCCATCTAAAAGGGAGAGTATAAAATAGTGTTTAAATTGTGTAACTCCCCAAAAAGGAGAAAATTGATAGATAAAACAAATAATTATAAAATCATAAAACAGAAAAAGGACACTAAATGTAATTATGTTTCAATAATTAGCTGAATTATACGTAAAAAATATTGCTTTATTTGTATAACTATAAGAGAACTGTGGCTCTTGTAAATTTCTGATGTCATTTTGCCCTTCTCAATTAAAAATGCTTATCATTTTTCTTAAGTTGTCTTTAAGCTAAATAAATATTATTTCATGTTCTATTTTAACTCACAAACACTATGAATTTTTCAACAACCAACTCTGCTACTTTATTCTTCTCACAACAGGTTTATATATCAGAGAATTAATAAGTAATAGTGACTATAATTTATTCTTTTTGAAAAAATAAAAATAGATTCCTTACCTGGGACTGAAGAAGCACTAATGGAGGAGGGTGAAGAATTTGAGAAAGCATCTATACTAACGGGACCTGTAAGTATATTCATTTACTTATTTTTTTAATTGCTAAAACATTTAAATTACTAATAGGAAACCCTAAATAAAATATAATAAAACTAGCTTTCTTACTGGTTGTTGGGCTGTTCTAAGTTGTTTCAACAGCTGGGGAGGAAGATTTGAACTAGATGGGAAATGTGACGTTCTGGTTTTATTAGCTGCTTGCTTGTGCATGTGAACACGCTAAAGATTAGCACCTGCCATCTTAAACTTCAATACGTTTAACTGTACTTGTCTTGATAGAAAAACAAATATTTTACATATCCTGAAAGTTTACGTATGACTTACGCATGCTATTTTTAGTTGTGAAGTCCTTGTGATACGATATTTTTGTTAAACTATATCTCTTCAATGCAATATATTGGGAGCAGACCATTAGGTTTAAGATTTTTTAATGCAATTTTAGGTTAAAAGAATAAATATAAAATCCTGAAATTATATATAAATTCAAAATAAAAATGAATTTTGTATAAACTCTAAATACAAAGTTCAAAAAATATTTTGAGTTTCTATAAAAATAACTAATGCAATCTTGAATTATCTTAAACATAATAGTTGGACTGGGTTTGTATGCATCTGTATTCTCTGAGTTTGCTAGGGCTGTCCTAACAAAGTAGCAAAGACTGGGTAGCTTAAATAACAAAAAGTTCATCTCTAAGTTCTGGAGGTAGAAAAAGCGTTGTCATGGCTGGTTTCTTCTGAGGTCTCTTTTTCACCTTGTAGATAAATGTCTTCTCCCGGTGTCTTCACAGCTTCTTCCCTTTGTACATGTCTGTGTCCTAATCACAGTGACACATCACCAATATCACCAGTGACAGTGGAGGAGAGCCTCCCTAATAACCTCCTGTAACTTAATTACCTCTTTAAAGACCTCATCTCCAAATATATTCTGAGGTACCTGGGCTAGGAATTCAACATAAGAAATTTTAGGAGGACACAGTTCAACCCATAACACTCTGTGATGAGATTAAAATGAATTAAAACATTATTCAGATCATAGGATTTAGTTAAAAGCACCAAGTTTTCCAATGAACTTCTTAATAAAATTAATTTTAGAAAGTACTGATAAAATTAATGTATCTTTGCTCAGATGTTGTTTTCCCTGATGCTACATAAAATTTTGCATTTTCCCTCTTTATTTTTCATATGGTACTTATGACTTCTACTATGTGATAGAATTTACGTATTTGTTTTACTGTCCGTTTCTTTCCACTATAATATAAGGTCTACCAGGGCAAGAATTTTTATACAGTTTTTTTACATCTACATTCATAATCCATAGAAGAGTACCTACACGCTGTAGGCCCATAAAGTAACACACACACACACACACACACACACACACACACACAGACACACATATGTATGTTGAATGCATAATTTAGCAATAATTCCTCACCATAAGATGAAAACTATTATATTTTCCTTTGCGATAAAATGGTAATATCTTAGAAATTAAAAGAAGCCTGGTAACTATCCAGTATAGCATTTCCCATTTCTTACCTTGGCATTTTCAACTATGGAATTTTCATTCCTCAATTCAATCCAGGGATATCTAACCTATAGATGAGGAAACAGAAACTCAGAGAAGCTAAGGAAATAAACCAAGTTTCTAAAGTTAAGAGAACAGTGATATCAGGAGTTGGGAACTAGTCAATTTTCCTTCTACTATACATCTTTAATATTTTTAGTGCTTTTCTGTTTCTTCTAGAAAGTTTATTCCTGTTTGTTAGATACAGTCTTCCATTTCTCACGAACACTGGTCCTAGTTCTATTCCTGGAGTAATAGCTTAAATCTAGTCCTTCTTAAAATTAACTGATGTTCAGATATTAAAAACTACCAGCATGTCCCAAATGAGACTTAAATTTTAGGTCAAAACACAATCTGTGCTTTTAACCAATTCTTACATGGTGTAGTTTCAAAAAATTTCAGTATCTTGATGCTTTTTCTGAACATATCCTTGTTTGCCAAGTCCCCTAGAACATGTGAGTTATGGCACAACCAAATCTAGGGTTCCAAGTAATGTTCTCACATAGAGTACAATGAGGTATGTAGTTGGAACAAATATGATTTGGGGATTATAACCTACTTAATTTTATTTTATAAGAAATGTCCAGCCATTTATAAACTTTAGTATTTCTCCATAACCTCACGATGTTCTTTAGGTTGTGATAATCTGTCATTCATCACTTTTTGCAAAGCTTTATCAGCTGTGAATTCCACAAGGTCCATATTTTTCCCTCATATCTTAACATATACCATTAAATTCTTCTAATCTTTTTCTCCAATCAAGATATATCCTGTCTATAGTATTTGGCTTTCTTAATAATACATAAAAATGCAAAAGGAAAAAAGAAATTAACTCTATTTGACCAAACTTTTCATGAATGATTTCAAATGGGCTTGTAGAGATCTTTGCTTTCTTTCCACAGTGCTTACACAGTGTTTTCCCAGTGCAAAAGTTTGTTATAGGTTAACTTGCATTTTATTTATATGCATTAGATTTTGTATTGAAAATTCTCGATTCCAGTGACTATCATATTACACACTTAAATCCTTTTGGAATTAAGTGGAATAAAAACAATATGTAAATAAATGAATGAATGTCAGGACCCTGAAGTAGACAATTTCTAGATGGTAGCTGCTTTTATTATGAGAAAAGCATGGATTAAAATAAAAGTTAGTTTTGTTAAAATAATGATATTTTAGATGTAGATTTTCTGAAGAACACTTCTGTAATATTTCTTAGGGTAATATTTTTAGTAAATCATGAAGAAAATTGGTACTTTATCTAAATATTAATGAAGAATTGGAACAAAGCAACTCTTTTTCTTTATTACGGTAAGAAATACAAAATACTTCAAAGAAAAGTTTGAGTCATATCCTGTGCAAATACAAACATGCCACAAATGTTGAAAACCGTTTAAGGTAGTTTCAACACTGGCTGTCTCTATTTGCTAACTTTCCATGTTGAGTATTGTATATTAATAAGTGGGGAACAGACTCTTGGAAACTGTTTTTTACTAGTGGCTTACCCTGTTCTTGGAATATTTCTTGAATATTTTGTGAATATTTAAGTGATGTAGAGGCAACATTTACATGTGAATTTTTATCCTCCTCCACATAAGCAAGTCATTCTTCTGGAATTTCCCTCTCCCTCTCCTCTCTCTGTATTCTGGACTGCCTCTTAGTATATATACAGCCTGTGCAGGTTAAAACTGAATTTGTCAGGTAAAGCCATTTAGAAACCCAACAAAAAGGCAATCGTGAAAAGAAAATACCAGACAGCAGGTATTGATTATGACCTCTTAGCTTCATAAGTATATCATTTTAGATTAATGATTGATGAACACTTAATATCAACGATTTTGAATTGCATGATTTCTTTGGCTTTCCTAATTTTTTTGGGGGGGGGACAGGGCCTAGCTCTGTCACCCAGGCTGAGTCCAATGGTGCTATCACAGCTCACCACAGCCTTGACTCCTGGGCTCCGGCATTCCTCTCACTTCAGCACCTCAGCCTCCTGAGTAGCTGTGACTACAGGTGTGCACCACCACATCCGGCAATTTTTTCAGTTTTGTAGAAACAGGATCTAGCTATGATTCCCAGGCTGGTCTTGAACTCTTGGACACAGGCAATCCTTTTTCCTTGGCCATCCAAAGGGCTTGGATTACAGGCATGAGCTTCCTTAATCTTAAAAAATCAATTTGGCTTTAAAAGTGTTAAATAAACATATTGGCGTGAAGGGAAGATAATTAAGCAAGACCTTTGATAGTAAATATCTGACTTTTTTTCTTTTTTCCTTGTAAATTTTTAAAGTTATTGTATTCATTAGTCAGTAATGACTAGCTCATTATAATCTGACTCTCATAAGACTTTATGTAACTGGTCATCATTTCTTACTTAAAGTAGAGAAGAAAATTAAAAGGACTTCTGTTAAAAAAAAAAGTTTCCTAAAATGACCAGGGTTTGCTAAAAGTTGTGCTTTTGGTATATTCTTCTCTTGGAGAGTTTTATCTACTTGGGGAGATATATATGAAATTGACTAGGATGATAGTAGTAGTAATGATATCACATATTTGTGCAGTACTTTCTGTTCATTAAGTGCTTCACATATTTAATACCAATGGTGTCTGAATGTTGTCATTCCCATGGCTTATCACTTTATCCTGACCACCTTGCTGTGAAATAGTATTACTTAGCTTTAGAGGAGCATACTGAGCTTCCAAAAAATCTTGTGAGTTGTCTCAGGTCACAGACAGGGAAAGACAAAAACTCATTGTTCCCAGTGCCCAAACTCTCTTTCACAGAACTTGTTGGGATCCACACAAATGGTACTTATTTACAAATGTGTATTTAGGCACTGAGTCACTGTTAACACCTGCAATGAAAAAGGGATAAGTATTAGGCCATTATCAGTAGATAATATCTTTTATTTTATTTTATTTTTTGAGATGGAGTCTTGCTCTGTCACCCAAGCTGGAGTGCAGTGGTGCAATCTCAGCTCACTGCAACCTCCGCCTCCTGAGTTTGAGCAATTCTCGTGCCTCTGCCTCCTGAGTAGCTGGGATTACAGGTGTGCACCACCATGCCCAGCTAATTTTTCTATTTTTAGTAGAGACAGCGTTTCACCATGTTGGTCAGGCTGGTCTCGGACTACCAACCTCAAGTGATCTGCCCACCTTGGCCTTACAAAGTGCTGGGATTACAGGCATGAGCCATGGCACCTGACCGGTGCTTCTTTTAAGTGTTTGCAATCATGTTGAGGAGTCAGACCACTATACAGCTGTTTGCTACACAATTTTGCAAGTGTAATAATAGTGAAAAGTCCAGAGTAATCAAACAACACACAGGAGGGATATGTAGTGAGTTGGAAGTATAGGTAGAATTATTCACTGGATTAAGTAGATAGTGAAAAGCAAGAGTTTGAGGGATTGGATCAGAACAGGTAGTTTTTTATGAGAGAAAGAGATCA